ACACACACACACACACACACACACACACACACACACACACACACACACACACACACACACACACTCGCACTTTACAGGCAGAGCAGCATGACTTTGGGCACAGATATTCACACTCTGAACCATATTTAGCAATGGGTGATGGGTCACACCGTGAAATAGGACAGGCCAATGTGATATGATTCCGGTTGGAATAAAATGGATGTATTGGGCAATTTCTTCTCTTTTTTTTATGTGCTGATACTAAAATTCTGGCCAGTACTGATAAGCCCAGTAATGCCTGCTTTTATTAAGCTATACTACATTTAAAAAAGAAAATCAAAACACACTAAAACTAAATAAATAAGGTGAATAAGTACATTTAAACATCACAATTACACTCTTAAAAATAAAGGTGCTTGACGATGCCATAGAAGAACCTTTTTTGTCTAAATGGTTCCATAAAGAACCTTTAACATCTGAAGAAGCTTTCTGTTTCACAAAAGGTTCTTTGTGGCGAAAGAAGGTTCTTCAAATTATAAAAAGGTAAGAAAGAGATTGTTCTTTAAAGAACCTTTGACTGAATGGTTCTTTGTGGAACCAAAAATGGTTCTTCTATGGCATCGCTGTGAAGAACCTTTTAAGCACCTTTATTTTTAAGAGTGTAGGCTGCTGCACGATTTGGGGAAAGAATATCATTGTGATTTTTCCTGATATTGTGATTTAATGAAAATTCCAAATAAAAGTTTTAGGTTTGCTGCACTTTTTCGGACTGCACAATAATTTAATTTTACACTGCAGCTATAAAATTGCAGTACTAATATTTGTCTTAATTTATGTTACAATTTACGTCTTAATTTCTTCATTTTCAAACATTAAACCATGAGACTTTTTAAAATTTTTAAATGACCATTATATTATCTACAACATACAGTGATGAAGATGCGCATTCGATTTGTAAGTGATGCTTTTGTTACATCTTTAATGTTCTCGTGCTGGCACAGAGAATTATAGGAGATCTGAGTTTTGTCGTGCAAGCCTGTCACTTAATAACCAGCTAAATGTGTAGTATATTCTTGCACACTTCACTGCTAATCTTCAACAACAATGCACAGTATGTTTGGGGGTCAATCGATTTATCGCCAAGGCATTTAAAAAAAAAATTTATTTGCATTTTCTGATAAGTTTTTCTGTTTAGACGATAAGAGTCAAAAGCAAGACTTATTTTATTTTGATAGCACTGAGAATCCAACACATGAGTGTAGATTCTCAATCTTCATTAGTTTGTCCTTGTTTAACAGTTCTGTTTGATCATTAAAATGATTCACAGTCACCATTCAGAAAATATGCATTTATTTAATTTGAAAAAAAGTCTTTGAATATCTGATAAACATTCAATGCCACGAACCTCGCAAACATCTGCATTAAATTGCAAAAATGTATACATGATACAATGTGCATTTTAGAGAATTTAATGGCCGGATTTGCTGTTAGTTTAGTCATACTGGTAATATGATTGCTTTTAGTCACAAACCCTTTCATTCTGCCTTTTGCCTTCAACAAATACACAATAAATCAGTTTAAAAAGAAAGCTGTGTCATTGTGAAGTCACTTACAAGCTACAATGTGCCACAGCCGAGAAATAGCATGGCAGAGTCTGAAACATGTCTCCCATAATTCTTTTGTGCATTTCAAAGCGTGAGCAGAGAAAAATAACGCTGCAGGCATTTCCCGTAATGCTATTCATTTATTCACATGGGTGGCTTTCTTTGCAAACTCTGGAACACTGG